ACGGCCTCCAGCCCGGAGATGTCCTCGTGGAGATTGAAACCGATAAGGCACAGATGGACTTCGAGTTCCAGGATGAGGGTGTCCTGGCCAAGGTTCTGAAGGAGACCGGCGAGAAGGACGTGGCCGTTGGCGCGGTAAGAATTTTCCCGAATTCCCCGCGGAGATGCGATCGGGAGAGCTGACTTTTCCCCTTTTCCTTTAAAGCCCATTGCTGTTCTTGTTGAGGAGGGCGCTGATGTTACCGCATTCGAGTCCTTCACCCTCGAGGATGCCGGTGGTGACCAGCCCGCGCCAGCTGCTCCGAAGGAGAGCTCTGAGTCCAAGGGCGCGGAGCCGGCGGCCCCAACCCCAGCCCCCGAACCTGCTGCGCAGGAACCCGAAACCTCGGGCGAGAAGCTTCAGCCTAGTCTTGATCGCGAGCCCTCGATTAGCCCGGCGGCCAAGGTGCTCGCCTTGGAGAACGGTGTGCCGATCAAGGCCCTCAAGGGTACTGGTCGCGGTGGCCAGATCACCAAGGAGGATGTTGAGAAGTACAATGCCAGCGGCGCCGCTGCTGCCGGCCCTACTTACGAGGACATTCCTCTGTCCTCGATGCGCAAGACCATTGCCAGCCGCCTGCAGCAGTCCGTGCGCGAGAACCCCCACTACTTCGTGTCGACTACTCTGTCCGTCACTAAGCTCCTCAAGCTGCGCCAGGCCCTGAACGCCTCATCCGAGGGCAAGTACAAGCTCTCGGTGAACGACTTCCTGGTCAAGGCCTGTGCCGCCGCTCTCATGAAGGTGCCCCAGGTCAACTCCAGCTGGCGCGAGGTGAACGGCAACGTGGTGATCCGCCAGCACAACACCGTGGATATCAGCGTTGCGGTCTCCACCCCGGCTGGTCTGATCACTCCCGTCGTGAAGGACGTGCAGGGACTGGGTCTGTCCGGCATCTCCAACCAGGTCCGCGACCTGGGCAAGCGTGCCCGTGAGAACAAGCTCAAGCCCGAAGAGTACCAGGGCGGTACCTTCACCATCAGCAACATGGGCATGAACCCGGCCATCGAGCGGTTCACCGCCGTGATCAACCCTCCTCAGGCGGGCATCCTCGCGGTCGGCACGACCCGCAAGGTCGCCGTGCCTGTTGAGACGGAGGAAGGCACCGTGACGGAGTGGGATGACCAGATCGTGGTGACGGGCAGCTTTGACCACAAGGTGGTGGATGGTGCCGTTGGCGGCGAGTGGATCAAGGAGCTGAAGAAGGTGGTCGAGAACCCGCTGGAGCTGCTGCTGTAGGGGGTGGGACACACCGTGTAATCTGTATTAAAACTTCCCCTACGTCCCGTACTTTAGACCACCATAGGTCGTTTTCTGCGTGTGTTTGTTTAGCAATCGACTGTTTCTTTTGTCTTAGCCATACCTAGAATAGATAACGGATGTCTCTATTTGAACACTAATTAAACTTGGTCCCGGATCCACCCCAAAGCCATGATGTCATCCGACCAAGCTTTATAACCAACCACCTTCCTTCCCTCCTTCCCATTTTCCTCCTGCTCTACTCCTGTCCGAACCTCCACCCCCTTAACGCTGGTCCGTGTTTCTCCTGCTGCGGCTGATAGCCGTGCTAACTCCCCCCCATTATCAGACTACACTTTTGCACGCGACACTACTATGTCTTACGCCGACGCTGCTGCCAAAGGGCCGAAGCAGTCCCCCCAGGACGTAAGTCACCCATCTACTACGATAGAAGCATCCGTGCTAACCTATCCCCCTAACAGGCGTAAGTCGAACCAGCATTTTTAACTAGCTACTTCACCCCATACTAACATCCGTCTATAGTCGTGCCCCCGATGTAGGCGGAAACTACAAAGACGAGTCGGAAAGCACGGCGAGCCTCATCGACGTAGACTCCCCGCATGTCTCATCCGTGGACCCCAACTTCCTGAACCAAGAAGTGAAGACGACCACGCAGGCTGACCGACTGGAGCGCGAAGCTGCGGCGGCCGCCGAGCAGCAGGCACGTGCCCGCCAGGACGCGGGCAAGAAGGGCAAGGCGCGCAAGGCAGAGAGCGGGCTGCGCAAGAATGCCGACAATCCTGTTTTCATCGGCAATGCCGTCTTGGTTACCCTCCTTGGCGCGGGCCTCGGTTTCGGTGCGTACAGGCAGCATGTCCAGGGGAAGTTGTCGTGGGAGGCTGTTGGATTGTGGTCTGGGGTTGTTGGAGCGGTTGGGGCTGTGGATTACTTTGTGAGCAAGTGAGTACTTTCCTTATTCTTGGTTCCAACCGGGATGATGCTGATTGATTCGCAGGTGGTTCCTCCAGAACAAGTACCCGCCGAAATAGGGAATGAATGGAGGCGTTCTTCGTTGTTTTTGGGCTGCTTGTTAGTTCGATATATCATCTCAGCTCTGCATTTATTTTCCTTTGCTGTATTGGTACCTGAATTCATCCCATGTTGCAACTGCAATACTCCAAGTAAGCTTGATTTTATAGTGTAGGCCACACCGCCCGCTTGGACCGGCAGAACCCGCGCCTCAAACAGGATAAGCTGGCATGATTGTTGTCTGTTGTCTTGTCTTCGATTAGAATCATCTCGGGTTGTGCTGTTGACCCTGCACTGTTCTCCTTGTCTGGAGCTGTCACAGCTGTATCATCCCGCTCTTATTTGACCGGTCTACCCCTGGCAATACCCAAGATGGTAGGCATGCTCCCACCCATCCTCATGCTACGAGAAGCCCTAACCAAACAAATGCAGAACTCCCTCTTCAATTCTGCCCTGAAGCAGTCCTCCGCGATCCGCCGAGACCTGGACACTTTCGCGCAATCACCGGCCACATCTTCCGCCGCACTACAAGGTGCGCCTCTCCCCTTTCTCGCCACGTGCTGGTTCGCTGTATCAGTCGGAAAGCTCACTTCTGCCTCTAGGCCAGATCTCTGCATCACTCACCTCGCTCTCCCGCACCGTGGACGACTACTCCGCGCTGTCGAAAAAGGAGCTGATCCAAGAGAAACAAGAAAAGGCCTTTGAGCGCGTCAAGAACTTCCGCAACGAACTAGCAGACTACCGCACGCAACTCGATCAGCTACGAAAAGAGCGCGAGGAAGCCGTACGCCCCCTCGCACCCCGTCATACTCTTCTTCACTGAATACTAACCCACATCCAGCAATCCGCCACCAACCGCAGCGAGCTCCTCGGCCGCCGTCCACACCACGCTGCCACGCCCGAAAACCCTTACGCGCAGTCCTCTGCACCCCCCTCAGCCTTCGCACCCACCTCGTCGGGCCTCAGCTTCGGCGCCGGGCCCTCAGACTATAACCGCGAGTCACACGCCCTGCGCGAGCAGTCCTTCTTCTCCAGCACGCACAACCAGCTCGACGACTTCCTGGACCGCGGGCGCGCCGTGCTCGCCGATCTGGGCGAGCAGCGCGAGATCCTCAAGGGTACGCAGCGCCGTCTGTATAGCGTTGCCAATACGCTGGGCGTGAGCGGCGATACCATTCGCATGGTCGAGCGGCGCGCGCGCCAGGACAAGTGGATTTTCTGGGGTGGAGTGTTGATTTTCTTCCTGTTTTGCTGGGCGGTTCTGCACTTTCTTCGATGATTGAGTCTTTCTTGTCTTGCTTCTATTATATTTGTTTCCCATCAGCGCTGGCGTTTTTTCTCGTTCTCTTTTTGGTTCTGGCTGCGGCCATTGTTACATACTATTAGGGAAACCCAAGGTGGTAGAGAATGGAGAGTCGTGAAAGCATGAATTCTTTATAATGGTGGTCCTACCTAGGTACATACCAAGCCGTGAAACGTGATAATAGTACATGAAAGCAAGTTTCTCGTCGCGATACTGTTGAAAAGAAGGGTCGCGAGTAGATAGAAGAGGCAAGGGCTGCCCTCCGCGAGGTAGTGGGCCATGTGGCAGATCGCCTTTCCACCAACGGTTGACCTATTGGGCCCCTACGAGTACAGTTCTTTCGTCTGATTCTCGAGCCACTGGCCTGTGGGATGCTTGTGTTTTGGTGTGACTTCACTTATAAAGAAACAGAGGAGACGAGGACGAATAGTAGGAGGCGGTGCATTTGCCCATCGTGGCAGTAGATGCGGTGGTAGTAGAAATGGTCGGTAGAGTTGTAGTCGATAGATCGCCTTTCAGTCAACCGTAGATCCGTTGAGCCCCTTTCAGGAATGCCATTATTAGCGTTATTAAGAACAGCCCGAAGACTTTGTCAGTGCTTGTTGCCTTCTGCCGTACGTCGGCGCCGTCAGCCACTGTATCCGGTCACGCGTCTCGGGAACTCATTAAACCTGATGCTTGTCGACATGAGGCTGAGCTAGCGCACAATCACACTGTCTGTTGTCTTTCGCATTGACTGGCAGCTTCTGTTGATGCCTCATGGTGATCATGGCCGTGCTTCTTCCGACTAGCGCGTAATACCGGTCCCAGATCGCGTCGATAGGATTACCCGTTGGCACTCGCTGAGGGCAAAAGTCGCCGTTGCTATCGAAATCGTATGGCCATCAAAGGCTGCGACGCCTGCGGCCGACTTGGAGGGCACATTTATATGCTAGTGGACCAGTAAGTCGCCCGCCCGACGGGGGTTCCACAAATTTGCCGGCCGCGTCGAAAGGGCGAACGTCGTAGAGGGGCATTGACTGGCAGGTTTGGTTGATGCCTCGTGGTGATCATGGCCATGGTGCAAGGAGTAGAAGGTGGAAGGACAGAGTAATTAAGTAAATATATTAGGAAGGGAAAATATATGAAGAGGAAAGTTGGAGAGGGGGAAGGGGCTTTTATATAGACCAGTGAATGGGAGTTGCCTGCTCTCTGCCTTTGAACTCGTAGACAAACACTCATAGACAGGGTAATATTGTATGTATAGATTCCTAGATTCCTAGTAGGTGGACACTGAAATAAAACCAAAACACGGGCCATAAGAGAGTTTAAAGAGCATATCGAAAGAGCTACTCATACCATGTGCCACGCAGTATCTGATATAAATGGTCGCGGTGACCTCTGTTTCCAGCTGTTAGCCATTCAGCCGCGCCTTGTACGTGTCCGCGGCGCCTTTGTCCACCAGTCCCAGCGCGTCGATGAGCTCCTCGACCTGATCGTGTACGGACGCCTGCAACGGAGCCTGGGCCGCAGCCAGCTCAACAAGACCGCGCTCGATCTGCGCCCCGATCGACCCGCGCAACTGCTCGATGTCTCCGGTGTACAGGCCGGAAGGAGAGAGGTTGTGCTCCAAGTAAACCCGGTCAGCAATACCAATCAGCGCCGCAAGAGCCGTCAGCCGCTCCGCGGAGGTGTCGCGCTCCCTGGCTTCGTCCCGGCTGTTCACGACGGACTCGGTGAGCAGCGCGAAGGTGTTGTCCAGGCTGTACAGCCGATCGACTGACATGTCCCGCCAGGGCTGCTCATCGGGATTGGCGGCCGCCGCGCGAACAGCCTCGTAACCAGTCGGCGAGGCCCAGCGAGCCAGCGCGGACAGTGCTAGGAAGCGGTCGTACGCTCCGGCCGACTCGTCGGCCAGAAGCGCCGCCACCTCTGGCTCCAACTGCTCCCAGTCCCCTTGCAGCGCTGCAGCGATCGCTGACTCCGGGTCAGTCTTCTCGCCGTCCGCATCTGTGAAGAACAGCCGGTTGGCAACCTCACCCGGCTCATACATGTCGTCTCCGGACGCGCCGTCCATCAGCGTCCCCTCCACGTCGGCCTAGCGGCCTTAGCAGGGAGTAGTACCCTTGGCCTGCCACTTGCTATCGTGGCGAGTGTTTGACAGGGTGTTGATCCGCGCTGCGAGGTCGCTTTGGCCTGGCCCTGGAGCCCGTAGTCCTGCGCGATCTGACTGGTGAGCGCGTCCTTCTCGGACTTAGTCATCTCATCAGTGTGCCTGAGCGCCCTCATAAAAGCGGCGATGGCTCAGGGAGGAAAGCCCTACCTGCCAGAGAAAATCCGGCTATAGGGCGCATAGGGCTCTACATACAGATATTTGCACTGTTTTTGGGCCCGTTGTGAGGAGGTCTACGGGGAGCAAAGAGCGATGGTCAGTGAGCAGCTTTCTTCTCTAGATAATCTTGCCCTGTTTATAAGAGAGCATCAGCAAATTTCTGGAGACACGATCCGTAGAATAAGTAATAGGCAATCATAATGCACGTACTCTCTTGGACTCTTTGAAACATAAGCTCACCAGCTGGCTTTTAAAAAAAACAGCCTTATACAACATACTGTCGACTAGCTGCCGGACTAGTTAGACTTCCAACACGCACGAGGGAAAGGAAAATCAGAGGTTTACTCATTAGAGTATGACTTAGTTACTGAACAACAAAACGGGTAACGTCATCAACGCACAAGCCCTTAAAACGGTCCTCAACCGCTACGTTGACCGGAGGTACTGGGACTGTTATAGCCGTGTGATTAGGAAGAGCCTCATTCATGGCTTCTATGCCCATTTCCAGGGGTGAACCTCAGATGTCAAAAGATCGGCTCCTTTTTGGTTCTGGCTTATCTTAGATTCCGTCTCCTAGATGATGCGATGTAGTTGGCATGATCGAAACATCGGTGAGGGTTTCTGGGGTTTCCGCCGTCACCCCAGGGACTGCGTCATGTCAGCTACACCGCTACAGTGGTGTCCTATTGGGTTTCTAACTCGACTAGTCAATGGCAATACGTACAGAAATACCGCAATAGTTAGCAAGCAATGTGTAGTATACTAACGGTGCCATGTGTACGCTAGGAACCCGAGCATCCGAGCCCGGAAGGAGTGACCCGCCCCAGCAGCCAATCTTTTCGCTCACCGTTCGTTCACTCGCCCGGTTCTTCCCCTTCACTCTTTCTTTCTCCCTCTCTCTTTCCCTTTCCATCTCCCCCCATCCAATTGCTGCCCACCATGTTTGCTGCTCGCCAGACCTTCAACCTCTTCCAGAAGCGCGCCTTCTCGGCCTCCGCTAGCCAGGTATGAGCGAATTCTTAACTGGCTCCTCCCGACCGCACTGACATGATTATTTTCCAGGCCTCCAAGGTCGCCGTTCTCGGCGCCGCCGGTGGCATTGGCCAGCCCCTGTCGCTGCTGCTGAAGCTGAACCCGCGCGTTTCCCAGCTCGCTCTCTACGATATCCGCGGTGGTCCCGGTATGTACAACGTGGTCGATATTTACTAGCAGGCAGGAATTGACTTTTTGTTTGTGTAGGTGTCGCGGCCGACCTGAGCCACATCAACACCAACAGCACCGTCACCGGCTACGATCCCACTCCCTCCGGCCTCAGCGATGCCCTGAAGGGTTCCGAGATCATCCTCATCCCCGCTGGTGTCCCCCGCAAGCCCGGCATGACCCGTGATGGTAAGTAACACGCTATCCATCCCCTTTTTGGTGAGAGGTTCTGACCTCGGCATCGCGCAGACCTCTTCAACACCAACGCCTCGATCGTCCGCGACCTGGCCAAGGCCGCCGCCGAGGCCGCCCCTGAGGCCAACGTCCTGGTCATCTCCAACCCGGTCAACTCGACCGTGCCCATTGTCTCGGAGATCTACAAGGCCCGCGGTGTCTACAACCCCAAGCGCCTGTTCGGTGTGACCACCCTCGACGTGGTGCGTGCCTCGCGCTTCATCTCGCAGGTCCAGAAGACCGACCCCTCGGCCGAGGCCGTCCCCGTCGTCGGCGGCCACTCCGGCGTGACCATCGTGCCCCTGCTCTCGCAGAGCAACCACGCCTCCATCGCCGGCGAGGCCCGCGACGCCCTGGTCAACCGCATCCAGTTCGGCGGTGACGAGGTCGTCAAGGCCAAGGACGGTGCTGGCTCCGCTACTCTGTCCATGGCTATGGCCGGTGCCCGCTTCGCCGAGTCGCTGCTCCGCGCTGCGCAGGGTGAGAAGGGCGTCATCGAGCCGACCTTCGTTGACTCCCCGCTGTACAAGGACCAGGGCGTGGACTTCTTCGCTTCGCGCGTCGAGCTCGGCCCCAACGGTGTCGAGAAGATCCACGAGGTCGGCAAGATCAACGAGTACGAGGAGAAGCTCGTCGAGGCTTGCCTGGCTGACCTGAAGAAGAACATCCAGAAGGGTGTTGACTTCGTCAAGAACAACCCTTAGATTATTGCGCTTCGTGTATAACATTTTCACCGTCTTGTTTTGGGCTCGAGGGCTGCTGAGCGGACTTGTGTATTACTGTCGGGTCGGTATCCTGAGGAAATAAAAATCTATATCGATCTGTCTGTTACTTTCGGGTTTCATTTTTACCTCTAAGCAGATCTAGTAGGAAGTACTAAGGACTTATCTGCCTGTTTTGTGTGCGGGTGGTAAAATGCAAAGTCATATTCATCGTAGCTCATCTGATAGGGGTGATGTGGTCAACTAAACCTCACGTCCAGTATTCGCCAAACCGAAGGAAAGAACGAGGGAGAAAATAAGCAAAGAAAATCGAGATACTCCGATGCAAATAGAAAAGGATTCATATCAGGGCCTGAAAAGAAGGAAAGACCAGTCTGTGTGTCATCATCAGATCGTCGGAGGGTAAACAAGGTAAATAGCAAAGCAAAGTCAGTCGTATCTCTCTCTCTCTCTCTCGAAAAAGCTCTAAATCCAGTGTCCGGTACCCTTCCTTCCACGCCTGCGTACTGTGCAGTAGAATTGCGTAAACTGTGATCAGATGGGTAGGCCAGACATGCAGACAAGCAGACTTAAGTGTAGCTCCGCATGGCATCTAAATATCCAGTCCCACCGCGCAGATCCTGATCAAAGGTTTCGGCGACTTCGAGAACGCTCCTGATGTGGGCCATTGACAGGGGGGAGCGTTCGTTGACGGCGAGGGCTTGTGCTGTGCGGACGGAGTTTTTGATCTGTTTCAATCGTCAGAGAAATTGACATAGAGCATAGGGAGCAAAGGAGAAGGAGAAGGAAGAGTGAAAAAAAGCCCACCTGGCGTCCATTCAAATTATGCCTGGCCAACATATCATAATCGTCCTCCGAGAACGTCGCCGTGCGCACACCCTCGATAGCACGCACGCGTTCCAGGAACATCTTCCAGATACTGCGCTTCGCCTTGGTCGTCAGGTCGCCGTAGCGCAGAGCGACATGGATACGAGACTGGAACGCATCATCGAAGGTCTCGACACGGTTCGTAGTCAAGAACAGTATGCCCTGAAAGTATTCCAGCAGACGCAGGAAGATGCTGACGAGCGCGTTGCGGTGGATATCATGGATGGTGCGTTTCTCAAGGAAGACATCCGCCTCGTCGAGGAGAAGCACCGCGCCCCATGAGTGGGCGATGTCCAGGATCTTGTTCAGTTCTGCTTCGAGCGTGCGCGAGTCCGTGCCTAGTTCGCCCGCCGAGACCATGTATAGTGGTCGTCGGAGGAGCTCGGCGATGCCCTCTGCTGTGAGGGTTTTGCCTGTGCCTGGTGGCCCGTGGAGTACTGCAACTAGGCCTTTGCCTTTACCCTGGATGACATCGTCGATGTTCTCGGCGGCGTGGAAGGTGTGCGATTCGACCAGGGCCTTCACGATAGACTTCTGGTTGGCGGGGAGCACGAGCGAGTCGAATGCATCGCCGTCCCATTCGATATCACTGATGCCCGAGATGCTGAATTCCAGCCACAGCTTCTCGCTGAATGCAAAGCCCAGCACGACGGGGCTGGCGATCAGCAATTCCTCCTCGGTGAAGGCGCGTTCGGTTGTATTGGCGGGCTCGCCGTCTGCGTCCTCGATGCGGTCCATCTTCTCGCGTTCGATCTCGTTGCCGTTCTCATCGACCGCGACCTCGACCACCATCGCCGTGCCACCCTTGTCTTCGACGACCTTGTACTTGGTGCGTGGGCGATCTGAAGCCCCGCTGCCGTTGTTGTCAGAGTCGGAGTCCGAACCGTGTCCACCGCAGCAGCAGCCGTTCTCGCTGTCGTCGTCTTCAGCATCACTAAGTCCCACCTCTGACGGGTCCAGCAGATCCGGGTCTTTGGGCCGCACCGTGCTGATCAGGTAGTTGGGGTTGATGCGGCGGTGGATGGCTGGGTCGATCATCACGCGGCCGTTGATGTTGACCTTGACGATGAACGAGCGCTTCTTCTTGTAGAAAGCCATGCCCTTGTGGAAGCAGTAGTTCATGCCGCGCAGCGAGACAAACCGCTTGCCGCGGTCGATCAGACGCGCTCGCAGCGCCTGGGGGTCGCGGTGATACTGCAGCGGGTAGCATGCGAGACTGGTGATCTTGCGAGCGCCCTTGAACGAGTCCACTTCCGCGGACATGGTCCCAAACCCGAAATCCTTGCCGTCATACTCGAGGTAGCGGCCCTCGACGCTGTACCATACGCCCCTCATGAATGAGCTCTCCTTGATCGCATACTCGATCTTAAAGGCACGAGGCTCATCCGTGTTGCCATATGTCGGCGTGTAGGCAATGGTGTTGGGCTTGTATAGAGCCCACAGCAGATCAAACGTGATGGTGTTATTCTCCAGGAGCGGATACAGCGTCTTCTTGGTGTCGGCATAGTCGGTATCCAAGTATTTGACCAGCACGCGCAGATGCGCCGCTTTGCTCGCCGCCGCCTTGCGGGACTTCTTCTTGCGCTCGGTCTTGGCCTGCCGCTTGAGATCTTTCATGTACTGGCGCGTCTCTTCCAGATACAAGAATAGCATGTTGGGATCCACCACTGCGGGCTCCTCCACCATACTCACACCCTTGACCCCATCCATGACCTTGCCCAGTGCATCACGCAGCGGCTTGCTCTTGATGTCGACCACCGTCTCCTGGTACTTGTTCTCCCAGTTGAATTGGCGGCGCACTGTGAAGATGTACTGGTCCCATTCATCTGCGTCGAGATCGTCCACCGTCTCGGTCAGTTTGTACTTGTGGATCGTATTGTCCCAAACTGACACATATTATTAGCATGTTATTCGTAGGAAGGGAAAACCAATGTAAACATACGCTGGTCAACCCGCTTGAAAGCCACCTTCGAAGCCGTCTTTTTCTTCTTCCGCTTCTGCCGCGCGTCACCCAGCGGATCGGAGATACTCAAGTCATCCGAGACCTGCTGGTTGAACCGCCTAGGGCGACCCTTGAACCGAAGGGTGTTGAGCTGGAGCTGGGCCATCAGCTTGCGCACGGCCTTCTCATCCGTGGACGAGAACATATGGGGGTCTGAATCGCCCGCATCTTCGGAGTCGGAGGGCGAGGAGGCGTCCGAATCAGAATCCGACCTGCGCGACCGCTTCTTTGTTCTGCGCCGGTTCTTCATCGCGCGTCTCGCCCGCGCGCGAGTTCGCTGGCGGTGTCGCTTACGGCGGTCCAGTTCATTGCCACTGGTGCATTCGGAGGCTGAGGTCTCTGAGGAGGAGTCCGATGAGGGGCTTGAGTCCGAGGAGCTGTCGCTGGTCTCGGGAGCTTTCTTTTTCTTTTTGGATCGTTTGTCAGGTTCGGCGCCGTGCTTCTTGCACGCGGGTGCCTTGGCCGTGTCTGGGGGTTTTGGGTCTTTCGCTGTTGGGTCGGAGATGGGCTGGACCGCTGTGGTGTCCTTGGAGTCAGCATCATCCTTGGTGGTGTCGGCCGTGATGTTGTCAGCCATGGTGGGTAGTTGATCAGCGGGGTGTGATGGGAAACGAGAGTATTCAAGGAAATAAGTATGTACTGAGATCAAAAGAAAAGAAGAAAGACTGAGCGAAACCCAACGAAAGACAGAAGGCAGCAGCAGCTTTTAAAGCCAGCCAGCTCCAATCGGGCGGCGCCAAAGAGTGAGGCGTGATGCACTGCGGCTCTCCACCGTCACACATTGCATTGCCGCCTGGTTTGTTTGTTGGTGCTTAGGGCTGACCACATCATTTAGTGCCCATCACGGTTTACGGGGTAGTGGCTGATTTAAGGGACGGCGGGGTATTGATCCGGATTTAATGATTCAGGGAATACAGCCCGATGGACAACAATATTCCGCGCTCCATACTGCATCTCCATCTGGTGTGGTATGGGCGATCGCGGGTATTCCTGTCGGTAGCGCGGTTACATCAGATGGATGTTGAAGATCCGGAGGACGATCATTGTGGAGAAAAAGAGATACGCAAAATGTGGAAAAGGAACATTAAAGGTTCGATAGAAGCACCGACCTGTATATAGATGGTTTTAGATGGTGATAAGGTAGGGCAAGTAAGCTGTTGATTGTAGAGCCATACTATATATAATTCGCATCTGCCCTTTCCCTCCACTCTGGTAACCCACCAACGTTTCTTTTTAGATATATTTGGTAGTTCTTTGTGGTTCCTAAGAACCGCTTAACTACATTTTAGGCCACGAAGGCCGAGCGGTGGCCCTAAGGCGGTCGACTATTTAGCGGGGCTCTTCGTTCGTAATACCCAGCGGATCTTATTGACCAGCAGGTGGCTTCTAGAAAAATTCACCGTGGAGAGCTTGGTCCGAGCCTACCGTGTGCTTCTGAGGACCTCCTCAATCTTATTATATGCTCATTTAAGTCTGTTCAACTTACTGTGCGAAGCAAAGAGAGAGCGATATGTACAATGAAGTTCATTCCCAGTTCCACGTCCTTTCGTGGGAGATACGTGGTCAGTCTGCCCAAGTCTTCATGCTAATCGGATGCATCGTTCAGCTCATTCCACCCACGTCAATATAGAGAGTGCTATGTAGCTCCGTCAGTAGAAGATCGGTTTCGTGGTCCTGTCTTTCCGTTCTCTTGAAAGCCTTAGGGCCTGTGGACCGCCTAAGAGTTCTGCGTCAAAGACATGTTGTTTTAGGGAAGCTCGCGGCCATCCAGGTTTCCTGACGGCCCTACAGTGCGAATCCTTGCTCCAGATCTGCCATTCCATAGTCTTAAATAGCCTGTCCCGGTTGAATGGCCTGGGCTGCTATTATGCCTCTTTCGTGCTCCAACTCGGATCTGACACGGGAACTGGCTCTTACGTATCTGTCTGTACAAACGCCTAACGCGGCGCTTGGAGAAAGGAACAACCTTATTTGAGAGGCGTCGATGGTTGTCAATTGCGATGGCTTGTTTTATCAGCAACTTCCCTGATTAGAATACAGTAAGAGATCTATCTTACTTTTGGTGCCGAGCTGGAGCCTGAAAATTGTGAATTTGCTCTTTTGACATTCGAAGTCGAGTATACCTGATGCGGAAGCATAATCATATATGGTCGCTTGTCGTGCTCGCGAACCGATTTCGTTGGTTACAACACCCCTACTGACATACACTATTGGCTGTGGGGTTCGGAATTTGGCGTGCGGGGCCAGAAGCCACCAGCGTGGGGGTCCTCGATGGAGAAAATCGGGGTGCCGACTCAAGGCTCTCAGCATTTTGTGGGTCACTGCCTCCGCCAGGTATCACCCCGCATTGCAATCGCACTTGCAAGGGACCAATAACCTCATTTCACCTTTTCCCCTATGTCGGGTGTTTTGCCTGCTTCAACAACTATCTACCTTAGAGCTGGCAGAGTGCAGAGCGAGCAGTTGCTGGCGAAGGTGCTGTTGGCGTAGCAGAAGAACGACTAATTGATCCGTCCGCCGCCAACCCACAAACAGATGAGATCGGTTTCCGGATGGTAAGCTCAAGCCGAAGCGCCTGTTATTCCCAGCCTCACTGACGATTATGTGTAGCAGGACCTGCCGCCGCCGTAAGCTCAAGTGCGACGAGACCAAGCCAGTATGCGGCCAATGTCGGAAGGCTCGCAGAGTCTGCGAGCTCAGCGAAATCGTCTTTCGTCACGAGCAAAACTCGTCGCTGACCCGCAGGCCCGATGCCCTGATGCGGTACTACTCTGACAGAAGGAGTTTTAGCTGCTCAAATACCTGGCTATCTATCCCACAGCAAGGTCAGTTTGATGAACAGCACGATGGCTTGGTGCTGACTCTCTGTCCAAGTCATCTTTGTAGCCGAGGATCCTGCTGGCTCCGGCAACCCACACACGACACGCGAGAAATCGACGGTCATCGACGTTAGCTCTCCCGTCCAGCAGCCAACCCATGATGAGTGGGAGGGTCATGAATTCCAAGTCCCAGTGGACAGTTGTTCCTCTCCAGTGCCCGCGATATCACTAGCTAACTCGAGCCCTCTCTCTGCTCGGAACAACGTGATGGCGGCGGTGGCCCTTGGCGGCTCTCCTGACCATGCGACACACTCGACTGCGTCGGCCGTCGCTCCCGATATATGGCCATCCGGCAACATAGACTTCATTCTCAATCCCATGTCGGCTAAAATCAGTCCAGAGAGTCCGGAGCTAACCGACAACTACCCTCGATCTCAATCGTGTACGCTGCAAAAGGATTCACCAGTTCAGACGGATCCAGAGGTTTCGTTTCTCCTGAGGCATTTCTCGGAGCAGCCCGGCAAGTGGTATTACAGAAGCCTATCCAATAGTGGTCTCCTATCTGCTAAAATCCCCCACAGGCTAGATTTATACTTCCTAGACTCATATTTCGAAACTGAAGTTCCTATGAAAGCCTTGACGCACCCTCTTCTCAAGTATGCTGCTTGCGCCTACGCAGCTAAGCACCTCAGCAGAACCAGGCAGAAAACTGACTGTCCTCGAGCGCCTGTACGGCATTCAGACGTGAAAACTACCACCACCTGGCCCAACCATTATTCTGTGGACTGGGCTTGGTATGGTGCAAAATACTACGCCCAGGCGATTAATCTCCTGCGAGACACACTGCGACATACCCAAGACCCAGATGGGTCTCTCGGACAACAGGTGACCCCGACATATATGAGCGATATGCAATCGATAAGTCAACCCGAAAAATACTCTCCATTTGGCGATGAAACACTTGCAGCTATGGCAATTCTCTGCAATTATGAGTTCATGAGTGCATCTGATGCTGAGTGGGCCCGCCATCTGAGCGGAACAATGCTTGTCCTAGAACTCCAGCAGACTGGAGTTTCTTCAATAATAGCCTCCCGTCCGTCTAAGGCTCGGAAAGCTATTTTCTGGAACTTTTTCCGTCAGGATGTCTACGCGGCATGTACGTTTTCGGGCCACCATCAGCCTACCGTTCGTCTATGCTAACGCACGTTCAAGACATCCTTGAGGTGAAGACCAGGCTGGATATCGAGGACCTCCATGTGTGGAGATCAGCAGGACTACAACTAGATGACCAAGGGTTTGTTCTCCCTTCAAATGGTGATAGAGAGGGCGCGATGAAAGATGACATGATATCGAATGCTCTCATCTGGATTCTATCAAAAGTCTTCAACTACATTTCCGCGGCCAAGGAATCCCGCAACCAGCACCAGCCAAACAATTTTCACCTTGACAGTGGGACTGGTGGATCTCCAAGTTCACAAGACCACAATCACCTGGTACTAGCGGAAAGGTGGAAGGCAATCAGCCACGAACTAGACGTTTGGTACGACGGCCTGCCTGACTCTTTCCAGCCTTGCGCCCGGATTGAGCGGACAGCGACCGAGCCAGCCACCGAGTCTAGTCCACTCAGGCCTGTAACGATACCCGAAATATGGTTTACCAGCGCTATGTGCGGCTCGACGATGCAAACCTATCACCTAGCCCGCTTGCTTCTCCTGGTCCACAAGCCCCAGTCCGGTGACGCAGCTTTCCGCAGCGGCGCAGTCTTTGATTTCATGGACATCCGTCGCGCAACTTTGGCCGAACTTCGCTATCGCAGCCGCGAGATCTTTGGAATCGCTCTGTCCTCGCCGTTTACCTCCATCATGCTTCATCAGACCCAGACCATCTTCATAGCTGCTCAATGCCTTACCGAAGACGGTGAAAAACGCATGGCCGTCGACATTCTCCGCCGGGTGAACTATGACCTAGGCTGGGAGACTGAATACCGCGTCCAGCAGCTGCTCAAACAGTGGCACTGGGAAGAGGTGTAGGCCATGTCTAAATTGCCTTTTTGACCGCCGAAGGCTGGGTTATCTTGAAAAGAAAGTTGTTCGACTACCACTAACCCTTGTACTTCATTGAGATTGCATCCTCGGATTCGGACTCTTGAAACCTCCACTTCTGGCGTATTTCCTCTCTGAAAGATGTCTCCCACTACTCCGAGAGCGCACAGCATATCGACCCAACTTCCTCACCTCCCTGACCAATTTGTCCCGCCAGCATCACAAATCCGACCAAGTTCATGGCTACATATATTCGCCGAATTCACCTTTTCCGATGCTTGTACAGGCAATCCCCTACCAGGCTCATTTAGTCCTTTACTTTTGGCTCTTTACTGTAGCACTCTGTACAGATTATAAGTGGAATGCATCAATGTAGTGAGTAAATAATAGGGCTTAAAGAAACATAGGATGGAATAACCACACGTGAAAGGGCTAAGGCAAAAAGGGATGTCGGTCGTGTCTTGTGTTTCACTCTATCATCCGTCGTTAAAGATAACACATACAGAGGTCTTCACGGATCAAGCGGTCTTGAAACCACCCAGCATCTGATACTCCTATCCAACATCACATGAAGAATGCCTACCTCCAGGGTAGCTGAAAAAACAGGTCTACCTATGCGCTGTAATGCTTCTCCCTCAAGGTCAATCCTTTCACGGGCAGCTTCATCCCATCCGCAACCTGCACAGTGATTAGCTGTTCATCCCCCGGCACGAGGTCGAGACAGTTGTCACTAAAAGCGCAACTGTCGGCAAGGCGATCATCGTCCGCATCGACGATCAGCTCTATCGCCTTCGCCACACCACCACTGACGCTCACAACCCACGATAGAGGCCCCACCGGCCGCACCGATACCGCGGCGCCACTAAAGTCGTGATGGCGCAGAGGCTGCGGGAACTCAGTGTACCGCGCCAGGACGCGCTTCGAGGTGCGCTCCAGCAGTCGGGTGTGCACAACCAGGGCCGTGGCACCATCCTGGTGGGCGGCTGGGAATGTTTCCTTGCCCAGCTCGGTCGAGCGGTTGGGCTGGAGTGTCGCTGCTGTGGTGCTGGTGTGGACCTGCTCGCCTCCCTGGATGGCCACGTACGACACTTCGAGGAGGGCATCAACGGGCTGGAGAGAGAGGTTGGATGCCCACAGCTCCACGTACGTTTCCTGCTCAATGTCGACATGGGTAAATTCGTTGGCCGGCATCTTGGCGACGCGCCGGGTTGCACCAACCAGCAGCGGAGCATAATTACGTTTGGTGACGTAGTAGGCCAGCTTCGGGCGCAGCATGCTATCGACCAGCGACCAGCTGACGGCAGGGAAGCAGTCGTTGAGCTGCCAGATCAGGCACCCTGCGCAGCCTTCGCTGCCGGGCCCGCGCCAAAGCCGGCGAAAGGCTCGCGAGCTATAGTCGGACGACTCGGCCTGGATGAGCTGAGTTGCCCAGCTGTAAGAGTCGAGATCGTTACCGTGGCGCAGGTTGTCGACCAGGTACATAGAAATGGTGCGCTGGTCTTCGGGAGCCATGTGCCAGGCGTCCATGGTGGTGGACTGAGGGTGCCGCTGCGCCGGGTCGGAGACCAGTGCCCTGACGGTGCGCGCGCAGGGAAAGGACTTCATCCCGAACTCACTGACAAACCGGCCGGTCAGCTTCTCGTAGTCCTGATATGGGTAGCGTGGCTGGTCAGCCATCCAGGCCTGCCAGGAGTGGATGTCGCCGACGAGAGGGTCGTTGGAGTAGGAGCCACCATAGGGGCTGGAGAGGTGGTAGGGGACACGGGGTGACAGCCTCTCTGATACCTCCTTGAGAGTGACTTCATAGTAGTACCTCCCAGGGAACGTAGACTTGATCCAGTTCTCGGGATTTTCGTCGTTCTTGTCGTACTCCAGGTTGTGGATCTCGGCGAACATGTAGTCCTCGTTGTTACCACACCACATCACTATGCAGGGGTGATGGCGCATCCGACGCACGTTGTATTCGGCTTCAGCCTTGATGGACTGGAGCAGGTAATCGTGGAAGGGGTAGACTCCGCATCCTAGCATGTAGTCCTGCCATATGAGGATGCCAAGCTCATCACAAGTGTCGTAGAAGACGTCGTCCTCGTAAATGCCGCCGCCCCAGACACGAATCATGTTCTGGTTGCCCTTGGCAGCCAAGTTCAACCACTCGCCATACCGCGTCGGTGTCATGCGTGGCAAGAAGACATCAGGGGGGATCCAGTCAGTACCCTGAGAGTAAATCGGGATGTTGTTGACGCGGAAAAAGAAGGTCAGGCCCTTCTGATTCACGATAGGTCGTTGGACCAGTTCCACCAGGCGCAGCCCACAGCTCTTGGAAACGACGTCGAGTTGTCCTTCGAGTGAGACCCTCACGGTATAGAGGGGCTGCGTACCGTAGCCGACCGGATACCAGAGACTGGGGCTCTTGATGGTAAAGCGGTGGCTTTGGCCAGCCTCTACCCAGTCTCGCGCGACGCTATTCCCCAGGTGATCAAGCAGCTCGACAACCCAACTTGTTTTACTGGCATTGGAACCCTCCAGTTCAACCGTTACCGTAACGGTGGCCACGTCAAGGGTATCTGCCACCTCGACATCGATCCCGAGATCAGAGATCCGAGTTACGAAGGACTCGAGGTAGACGGGTCTCCAGGGGCCCGCAGTGAGAAGAGTTGGTCCCCTAGCAGCCGTCAGCCTTGGTTGGTTGTGAAGCTGGAAATGAGTTGGGCTTACCAGTCCCAGCCGTAGTGGCAGGGCACTTTGCGAGTGTTCATCCGAGAGGAATCACCATTCCAGAATTTGTTCTTGAACCCCTGTTCCGTTTCGAGTTTCTAAAATATCCATCCTCAGTTTGGGTCTATGTTTTAGTGCAGGGGATGAACTCGATATCCCGAGCGACTGGAAACGCACCTTGCCAACAAGGAACGTGGACTCAAAGTGAAGCACCAGGTGGTTGGGCCCATTTCGGATCTTGTCCGTCACGTCGATGCGCCACTCCAAGTACATGTTGTTGGTTCTCAAGAGCTGCTCACCATTGAGGCTAATGCGGCAGTGGGTGTCGAGGCCCTCGAAGACGAGGACGTGGCGCACATCCGAGGACCCGCTACAGCTAATGCTGTCGAAGTCGAAGGTAGTCCTATAGATCCATTCCCTCTCGCCGACCCACTGCACCTTTCGGGCGTTGAGGTCCTTGGCTGGGTCAGGGATCAGCCCATGGTGCATCAGGTCCAGGTGATTGACAGTCGGGAACTGCGAGACGGAGCGGAAGGGCTCTTCCGAGTCAGCCTCCCTGAACGACCACCCATCATGGATGGTCTGGCGCAAGCGAGCCTGCGCGGCCGAAGTGCTGTGGACAACAAGCCGCGTCATGGTGGTCTGTCTGTCTCTCTAGGGGTGTTGTGATAGGGCGTCGGGGAGCAGGTCCTGGGTGACGGTGGACGGGGCATACTGCTGGAGGATAACTTGCTCTTACATATACTTGGGAGTATCAGCGAGCCTAAGTGGTGTTCCAAGATGCTCGGCACCCAAGCCTCTTTTGGGTGTAGCCGTTGCTCCCGATTTGGGGTTAGTTGGCGAGGTATTCGGGAAACCTGCCAGTTGCTGCTTTTAGGGGCTCCGAGGGAGAGGGCTTGAATGCGGATCGTCGATCGAGATCAGGCTGGGGGGACCGTCTTCTTGGGTTTGTCGTCAATTAGCCCCAAAGACCACACACTCCCTTTACCCATTCTGTCAACCGTGGAAATTACCGGAAGAGCTGAAATGCTGCCTTTGGCACTTTTGGTCTAGCGGCATAGTTTGCCCACATTTTGGTCGGCACATTCACATTCTGCCCCATACATACTAGGATGCTTTACGATCTACCTCAGGCGCCACATGCTTTCTCCCCCCTCATCAGGAGATCTCCCAACAACCCCCAAAGTATAGACTAGTCTCTACGGAGATGGATATTTCTAGTTGCGCACATGGTTCGTTCCCCCGCGGCCAATTTTATCGCCTGAGACCCCGCGTCGCTAAACCTATCCCTTTCGACGAGTCGGTAATCCACCCTTGCTTTGGCCTCCGGATTTCTGGATTCAAGCTTTTAAAACCTATTAGAATGTCCCCAGAATCTGTATATGCATACTTCTCATGTCTATAAATATGGGGTCGTCGGCCCACATCCTCGCGGTGAATTGACATCGATCTGTTACACCCACCCCACCGTACTCGAGCCAGGCCATTCCCTCTCGTCGACATGTGCCCAGCGTCATACTTCAACCGGCCAGAGCCGAACTGCATAACTCTCGGCGGACGAGAGTTCCCCAAGGTGCGTCAAACATCGACCCGCCGCATAATAACTCTTTAGAATCCCTGACAGACTCTCTCCTAGGTCACCTGGTGGAAACGCAAGAACCTGCGCAACCTTTACCTCTTGCTCCTCATCCCTTTGGTCGGATCTTGGGCTGAGGGCTACGATGGTAGCATGATGAACGCGCTTCAGACCAGCACGCAATGGCAGAATTTCTTCGGCCACCCTCGTGGCTCATTACTCGCCTTCTACAACTTGTCATTCGCCATTGGTGCACTCGCTGCAGTCATCCCTTTCCCCTGGGGCGCCTACTTCGCGGATAAGATAGGTCGTCGCTGGGGTATTGTGTGTGGCAACGTTGTCACCATAATCGGCACCATCCTTCAAGCCGCTTCGCAGAACTGTAAGCGCCATTATGGAGACTGTCGCCGGGCCGGCTGTTTGGCTGACATGTACCACAGTTCCTATGTTCGTCATTGCCCGTGTCCTCCTCGGGATGGGAGGTATGTATACATAGAGCGCTTACTCCTTCTCCGGCTTCTTTCTAACCTTGAATCAGTAACTATTTCCCAGAGCAACTGTCCCCTGCTCGTGACGGAGCTGGCACATACCCAGCATCGGGCTCGTATTACGGCTATGTACAATGCCAACTGGTATGTGATATGATTGCAAACCTCACATATACTTCTGGATGCTGACTCCCCGGTCACAGGTATTTTGGAAGCATCATTGCAGCTTGGGTGACCTTTGGCACTATGTATACTTCCCGGATACACATTTTCAGCTCATATCCTGGTCGGTGCTGATCCGTATGCCAGTAACATCAACTCATCCTGGGCGTGGAGGATTCCTTCGCTTCTTCAGGGAGCAGCTGCCATCATCCAAATCACCATGATTTGGTTTGTGCCCGAAGTACGTCATTTGTTACGAAAAGGCATCATAGGACCTCGCACTGATCAATTCACCAGTCGCCCCGCTACCTCATTAATAAGGATCGTCATGACGAGGCGTTGAGGATTCTAAAGAAATACCACGGTGAAGGTGTAATGACCGATTTCGTCGCCGCTGAATTCCTCGAGATAAAGGAGACCATCGCGCTCGAGAAGGAGTACAGCCAGCGTGGCTGGGCAGAACTCCTTCGCACCCCCGGAAATCGCAAGCGAGCTCTTATCTGCTACCTTCAAGGCTTCTTCTCGCAGTGGTGTGGCAATGGCCTGATCAGCTATTATCTCGTCCCAGTTCTTGACACCATCGGCATTTCAAATAGCAACGAACAGGCCGGTCTAAATGGTGGTCTCCAGATTTGGAACTTCATCGTGGCCATATGGGCAGCGTTCAATATCGATCGCATTGGAAGACGTCCCATGGTGCTTTTTAGTACCGGCTCTATGATCGTTATCTTCACCTTGTGGACCGTCTTTTCGGCCTTGTATGTGCAGAATGAGAACTCTGGGATGGCGAAAGGCGTTATCGTCATGATCTTCTTCTTCTATACGGCCTTCAACTGTGGCTGGTCAGTTTTCCTGACGCAAAACATGAAATCCAAAGAATACTGACCCAAGTTTAGGCAAGGCCTCGTCGTTGCGTACCCAGTCGAAATTCTCCCTTATGAGCTCCGAGCCAAGGGACTGCAGCTCACCTTTTTTGGCATTTCTTCCAATGGTAATTGCATTCCACCCAAACGCTTGACATCTACACATCCTAACGATGATAGTTGTCAACCAATATGTCAACCCGGTCGGTATTCAGAATGCAGGATGGAAATTCTACATCGTAAGCCCTCCCCGTAGATTTGAAACCACAGGTACTGGACCCTAACAAGATGGTATCAAAAAGTTTTACTGCATATGGCTGTGTGTTGAGTTCATCGTAGTGTACTTCCTATGGGTCGAGACAAAGGTAAAGAGGACCCCACATAAAGAGCATGATCGATAGTTACGGAAATCGCTGACGGAGTACAGGGTGTGCCATTGGAGGAGATCGCCAAGTTGTTCGACGGCGAAGATGCCAAAGTCGGCGGTACGGCCGCGAGCACCCAGGCCAAGGAGCATCTTCGTGACATGAAGGAGCGAGGCTTGGCTGAGCATACCGAGGTCGTTGTGGAGTACACGAGGGACCTGGAGACGGGGGGAGGCACATGAGTGCACCAAAGCCAAGTGAAGGGAATTCCCAGTCACGGGTTTGAACTCTTGCGTACCTCCGAGGGCCTTGGTGGCCATGTAGCATTGAATCCACGTGGATCTTGCATCGTGCGCTGTATCATGTAGTACTTAGTCGTATATACCGAGCGCTTTTCCTGGGCAGGAATCCCTGCAATTCTGAATGCCGCGGATTGACCAATTCAGCCTCAATGTGTAAAGGGTTGTAAAGATTCAATTGACATGTTACATATTGTTGATATGAACTTTTTTCCCCTCCTTTGTTTTGTTTTGGATACATAATATTTTTACAGTACAAAATCTGGCCAACTTTGCAAGTGTGACTCTCGTGTCTGTGGATACCATTCCGGAGTTCGGAGTACCCACTCATATGCATATCACCCGCGATGATCTTTCAAGGGCCTACCCTCTCGCAAAACCCCTCGTTCGATATCCATGGGAAGTTTTCCTGAACATCTCTCCAATCTTTGCCCACCGGCTTTAAACACGTTCTACCGAATATGAATCCCTCCTCGACCATGCCATCTGGCTACATCTTCCATGACGGACACCCTTCTGTGTCGGACTATCTCAATCTCCGCTCCGTCGCCGGCCTCTCTCCCAAAACCATTGCGCAAGCAACTGAGGTTCCCAACGGAAGCTGGTACGGGTGCTTCGTTACCAGTGAAAAAGACAAGAAGGTCGTTGGAATGGGACGTATCATTGGCGATGGTGGATGGTATTTCCATATTGCGGATATGGCAGTTCACCCGGGCCACCAACGGAAAGGGCTTGGGGACGCGATCTTGAAGACGCTTCTGTGGAAGATCTCAAAAGGTGCAGCTCAGGATGGTAAGCCTTACATCTCACTGTTTGCAGATGAGGCGGGGCGAAGGTTGTACCACAAAAATGGATTTGTTGAAGCAGCCCCTGGTCAGCTCGGAATGGTGCTGCCCTCGAATTGATGAAGTGAAGATTCCATCAGTATGACTAAAGAAAGACGGTGACTTCTTATCATGTGAATGTAGCTGAATAGGCTAAGAAATAATTCAAAATATGTCGATGCTTGAAAACTCTTCCTGTTGGTTTGAGAGAACCGCAGGATCCAAGAAGTCCAAAGAGTCTAGGGGTAGAAACTGCAGCGCGGAAGAATCGGCAACAGCAAGCTGATTGGCAAAGTGAACAGGATCCTCCGAGGTGAACTGACGCTCAATAGCAGCATCGAGGATACGGCTAAGTTGAAACTCCGCTTGCCGACAAATTGTGTAGTTTCCATAGTTGAGCGGAGCTATCCACCGAAGAGAGGATGCAAAAACACTCAGAAGGGGAATGAGTCGGGACAAGCCATGGTGTGGAGGGCCTTTGACCAATTCAAATGCAATCAAGCCAGCACAGGGCAAGCCGTAAAACAAAACCTATCTCTGTGTCATCCACCGGCTCGTGAAGGGGAAGATAGGAGGGGACGCCACATACAGCCCAGGAAAAGTCATTCTTAAGAGCAGAAATATTCTCGTATTCTTTGCAAATTTTGGATATAGCCGTTAAAATTTCCTCGCAAGACTGTAACAGGGCCCTGAGGCCCGTGTTCGTTCTTTTCAGGATAGATCGCTGGAGAAGAAAGCTGTTGTACTTCATATCGAGATGCGCTAGGAGAACCATGCGATCGTGGTTTGTCATGCCTTGGGGGTTCTGCGACTCGGCGACTGTATCGAATCGCATATAAGACGGGACCTTTTCTGGAAAGGCCACTACTCTACGTAACAATTCTCTGCACATACTAGTTGAGAAAATGCGATTTCGGTAGCGAATGAGGACTCACCTTGCTCGCTGCTCGACATCGGAGCTATTCATCCCCATGCAAACCTCCAAAATTTCCGATCGTAGAGCCGAGATCATGAAGCGCAGACGGATGAATGAGCATGGACTCAAGCGGCTTGGTATGCGCCAGCCATGCTGATTCCACTGAGGCTCGGCTGATCTTCCTTCCAGAGAGACCAAGTCTTCATCACTGACATCCTGCGGAGGGGTCATGTCACAGTACCGCCAGTTAATGAGAGGTGGCCTTCCGATGAAGGTAGATACCGCTTTATCGATGAAAAAGGCAGCCGCAAAAATTCTCCTTCTCCACTGCCGGAGAAAGATTGGGTGGGTGTTCCGATCCAGGTGAAGTTCCCCGCTGTATACAAGTCCGGAAAGTTCCGTAAGGCGATCCCATACGCGCTGGTTCCCGTCTCCAAGCACCATGGTCAAGAGCTGTATATTATTGCACAGGAAAGCAGCTGATACTTCACTTGCCGCCTGCGAAGAGTGTATGCAAAGCGTTGCGCATTTGTCGCAAGCATCTATAAGCTGATGTGCAAGCGTGGTCTTGGCCCAAAGGTTGCCATTGTCGTCCAGCAATAAGGGATCCGCATCTTCCAGTGACATAAGGCATATACCAGCAATGGCAAATATATTCCCGACTGATTCCCATCGCAAACTATTGCCGGTGAATTGTGAGCAGTAGTTTTGCATTGTCATTTTCTCGCCTATGGTCAACTTCCGACAAGACTGGAAGCATATTCTGTTTGCGACAACCTGGACCCCTTGTGAAAGCGGATCAGTGACCGACGAAGCACCAAGCACATTGTGTGCTGAAGAGCAAATAGACCGAGCCATGATGTGGGGAAGGATAGGAACCTGGCTTTGCTGGTAGTAGAAGTCTACTAATTGTATAAAGACACTTGAGCTTTGAAGGAAGAGCAGGATCTTGGAGCCAGACAAGATATCCTCAGCTCTTGGAACTGCTGGGTCGTCTGATAGGATTGAGGTCTCATCGAGCAGAAGACCCTGAAGCAATGATCTATTTTCATCAAATAACGCTTTATAATTGGTGAAAACAAGCGGGGATGCCGGCTCATGATGCAAATCATGAGAGCTAGAGCCAGGCCCGAGTTAGCCAACCCGACACATAAGAACAGACTGCGAACGAATAACTCAATAGCGATCCTACCTCCCTTGAGCACCCGCTTGCTTAGTTAAAGGTGCGGGGTGATAAGTGCAGTCCTTGGCGATTCCGCGTGAGTAGCATCTACCACACACGGGAAGTGCGTGGTCACATCGCACTTTCTGAGTGCGACAAGGTTCACACGAAGGGGGTTTTCCATTTCTCCTCGTTGAGGCGGCAGTAGAGAATGGTATCATGGCTAAGCACTGACGCGATTTCTGGAAGTAAGCTGACAGGCAAGAGGAACATGCTTACTGCGGCCCAGACATGGTCTGAGTGATCAGTTTTGACAGTGCTGCCATCAGAGAAGCGTATACCCAGGTCTCTGGACGTTTCCCTCAACCCAGTGGGAAGGTGGGTGGTCCGGGCAGGGAGCAAGGTGGCAAGCTTTGGATTAGTAAGTTACTCAGGCCTCCTCCTAGTTAGAGGCTGTCTTATGGCCGGCAACGGTGCAGACAGGGACCATTGAAGCCTCGGGTGCCCCAGAGAGTAAATTTGGAACATTTGAAATTATTTCCTGTCAATTCATTTGCAATATCAAGTCTAAGCTGCTGTTGAGCATGATTCGTGAATTTTTACGCTTCGTTTATTTAACCATTCATCTCCCACAGAAAACTTACTGTCCTCACATTGCTGAATTATCTTCAAACTACATGTGAGACCTGGGATGCTTTTTGGTAGATCCGGGATAGAAATTGAAATGCATTCATTCGTCCCTGAATCATTTAAACTATTCAAGCAGCTTGTTTTCCTCCTTGCTTCTAAGAGCCCACTGAGGGGGAACATCAATCCCTTCATCCTCCTCCCGGTCTCCTTGAGCCTTGTCCTTATGGACCGTAGTAGGCCTATGTTCCGCAGGGGAGTATATAGTATACAGGAGCAAAGGCACAGTACCAACGTTGATAAACTGGTGTTGTGTACCTGCAGGTACGACAATCATATCTCCAGCCACAACGCCTCGCTCTTCTCCCGCCACGATCGCGAGCCCTTTGCCTGCTGTGAACGTCAAGACCTGATCTACCGAATGGACCTATGTGGGGGTTTTAAACGCGTCAGTTGCATGCATACAAATTTGTGAGCTCCACAAACCTCTTCGCCTATGTCGCCTCCGACCGGGACATTCATCAAGACAACCTGCGAGTAAAGGCCCGTCCATATCACTCGGCGGAAATCTGTAGATGTGGAAGGCAAAGAGTTGGTCATCTGAGGCAGGAAAACCATTTTTTTGGCTGGCGGCTCCTGCGATGTGCATTGAGGTGGTTGAGAAGCCATTTGAGTGAATTCCACGAAATGTAAAGTCGGTCAATTATGGTCTGTGAGGCGGAGTCGGCGACGGAATTCAATGATTGACGCGACTACCCGGGAAAGGAAGATTAGCAGAGGCAATATACAAACCTTGGAAAGGTACATATGCGGCTAACTATATAGATGTCAACCTTAGTTCTAGGCCCGGTTGTAATAGCCTTTGACCAAGGGCTATTTGTCAACTACTTCCTATTGTCCCTCGGACAAAGATCCACGTAATTCAATGACTGAGAATTGCTACCACCCGAGCTCTGCCGGGCCTACTGCAGCTTAGTGACCATTTGTAAGCATCGTTTTTCTGGTAGGGCTCTAAGGCTCTCTCGGTCTTTGTGAAAATTTTCGCGTTTCTCTCCCTCTCCGGTTATCACTCGGACATGTGCCTCAACAGATCGGATCGGAGAACTGACTGATAGAGTTCCCGCATCCGATAGAATTACACCAATGATACGAGGAATAGATTACTGGCTCCAAGTGGGAACTCCGAACTCCAAGCCAATCAAGCAACAGAATGAAGGCGAGCAGGAATCTATCAAACTTACTTGCCATTGTATGAGCCTTTCGCTATCTAGATCTCTTTCGACAAAAAAGCAAGCCATGAATCCCGTGGCTCCGGATAGGGATGTAAGTTGCTAGTACACTGAGATGGAACGGAAATAACGGCGTAAAAAGTACCCCACTTTTTATCCTGGCCAGAGCAGCAATGCATACTTCCGGGGAAGAGAATGATTCCCACGCAAAGCCCGGCCCAATTGTCACGAAGTAACCATCATTGAGCAACGCAAAATACCACTGGCCAAGTTTCTTCTTGATTAAAAACTAGCGCTGGTTACGGACCCGTGGAACGTTTTTCATTAATAATGGTGACGCTCTAGAAATTGAGGAATAGTGTTCCCTCCATTCCATAACAAAGGACCCTTGTATTGACACAGAAGTGGGCTGGAATCATGATGTCAGAACGAATTTTCCTCTAGCATATAAGTCGAGTCATCCCCTGCCAAATTGATACTTTTCAACAACGTTCAATTCAGCCCTCGTCCTTCTATACATGAAATCAATTCGCCGCTTCACCGCTCAGTGCAAGCCGTACAAGTCCACCAAGATGACCACTGTGAAAGGTAAGTTTCCAAAATGATAAAGTCAAGGCATACGTCTCAAATTAGATAGATACCTTCCGTTATGCCGAACGACCAACCTATACAACTTCAAACGGCTGCCCGGTAAGTAGGCAAATCTTGGCGTACCTTTTATTGATAACAAAATGCTAATTTCTTGCAGGTAATGAACCCACAGGCCACGATGAGGGTCGGACCAAATGGTCCAATCCTTCTACAGGATTTTCACCTCATTGACACGCTGGCTCATTTCGACCGGGAGAGAATCCCGGAGCGTGTAGTCCATGCCAAGGGCGCTGGAGCCTATGGCGAGTTTGAGGTCACGGACGATATCAGTGACATCGTGTGTCTCCCTTAAACCCCTACAGTAAATCCACTGGCTTTTTATTTAACAACGATTATGTTATAGACGATCATTGATATGCTCAAATCCGTCGGCAAAAAGGCCAAGCTGGTCACTCGCTTCTCGACTGTTGGTGGCGAGAAAGGATCAGCCGATAGCGAGCGAGATCCTCGCGGATTTGCGACCAAGTTCTACACCGATGAGGGCAATTGGGATTGGGTTTTCAACCATACGCCCATATTCTTCATTCGGGATCCGGCTAAATTCCCACTGTTCATCCACACGCAGAAGAGAAACCCTCAAACTAACTTGAAAGATGCGACAATGTTTTGGGACTTCCTGTGCTCGAATCAAGAATCGATCCATCAAGTGATGCAGCTCTTCAGCGATCGTGGAACACCTTATTCGTACCGCCATATCAATGGCTACTCGGGTCATACATTCAAGTGGATTAAGCCGGATGGCGGATTCAACTACATCAAGATCCACGCTAAGACGGATCAAGGTAGCAAGAATATGACTGCCGAAGAAGCTGTCAAACAGGCAGGCGTCAACCCAGACTGGCACACGCAAGATCTCTTCAACTCGATTGAACGCGGAGAGTATCCATCGTGGACATGCTATGTTCAGGTGCTGAGCCCAGAGCAGGCGAAAGTCTTCCGGTGGAACATTTTTGACCTTACTAAGGTCTGGCCGCACGATCAAGTCCCACTTCGTCGATTCGGACGATTGACGCTGAACCGCAATGTGGAAAACTATTTTGCGGAGATGGAACAAGTAGCATTTTCCCCGTCGCACCTTGTTCCAGGCGTCGAACCATCTGCGGACCCAATGCTCCAGGGCCGCCTGTTCTCTTACCCAGATACCCATCGTCATCGACTGGGTGTCAACTACCAACAAATTCCGGTGAATTGTCCTCTGCGTGCGTTCAACCCTTACCATCGTGACGGCTCGATGACGGTCAATGGTAACTATGGTGCGAACCCTAATTACCCATCCTCGTTCCGACCCCTACAAATGGGCTCTGTGGGTGCGAGCCAGGAACACGAGCAGTGGACTGGTGCGGCGGTGTCGGACTTGATACCTGTCACGGAGGAAGACTATGCGCAAGCTACAGCACTTTGGAAAGTGCTGGGACGACAAACCGGCCAGCAGGACAATTTTATCTCTAATGTTTCTGGCCATCTATGTGGAGCGAAAGAAGCTGTCAGAAAGCGGGCTTACGAGATGTTTTCACGGGTGGACGAAAGTTTAGGTTCCCGAATTGCGCAAAGCACCGAAGCTAGAATGTGATGTTGGTGACTATGATGCGGTTGTTTTATGCTGGTCTTTTCCGAGTGCCTGTTTGATCTGGCTGAAAATATGTCGTGCTTTAAATTGTCAGTTAAATCTGATTCTTAATCTGTCCTCACCGGCCCTCAGGTAGGTGGATCAGAAACCCGAAGAAGGTGTTGTTGTAGTATCTATGACGAAGTACACATATGAGACAGGAAAAGGAGAAGAAACTGCTTGCCCGGAGGGCATACGGAGGCCGCAAGTAGCTGCATATAGTATCTAGTTAAATGCCTGCAGTTAAAACGGAGGCTTATGCAAAAGTACCCATGCGTATGCCTTGATTTATCAGACCCTAAGACTTCGGTCTCCATTTTCAGTTTATATTCGCTCTTTTTGATGTTTTCCCTCCTATATTGACTACGTCATGTGCTTACTTGCTAAGGTAAACGTCTCTCTTTTCAAAAGGCAGCAGTTACGATTTCCAGTTACAATTTTCCCGTGAACAAATATTCTATTAATGGACTGAAAAGATTTGAAGAGAATAGAGGATAATGACAGCGCCTGGTTTTGTAGATCATGAGATACTCGCTTTTAATAAGTGGAGAGTAGATGTCGTTTAATATTGAATGCTCGGGTTCCTAGGTACTCTCATAAATTACCGCATTGTACTCTAAGCTTACTTATTGTTTTGGAATGATTAAATGTTTCATAGATCCTTCTAAAAAGCGACATTAATTCACTTTCGTTGGCTCACTACTGATATGCGACTATGTTAGATTATTGAGCTTCATCAATTAACTACAAAGAAATTTGCAACTCTGCTTCTCAATATATGTTGGGTGTTGAGGATCAAGTTAACAATATGAGAGGAGGATTGAAGACAAGAGTAGGCGTTTAGAGATAAGCATATTGAGACTCGTATCATGGTTAAGACTCCCCAGCTTTCACAATCAGTAAAGTACCTGGACGGGTATGCGCAGGTGAAGCTCTTGACCTGGGTAGGTGTCAAGGCTGAGCGACAAATAGATAACGTATTTGCGAGATATCCATGGAGAGAGAAAAGTTGGTGGAGGGAATTGCAAATTTCCACAATCAATAGTAAGTTGTGCATCAGCTTCCCTTCGAATTCCCCCACGGCAGCCTGTATGACATTCTGAAAGTGAATTAGACACGGCCCAACAATACGTAACTGTCATGGCAGCAAGTAGAGAGTTCAAATTACCAGACTTGGTGTGTTCAGCATATTTCCAGGGCGAGAGTACGACTTTGTACTTTCGTCGAAAGTGAACTGAGGAGGATTCCGCCATATCATGTGAGTCGGTGACTTCAGATGAGGTCGGGACGTGAGGGTGCGGAGTGACAGAAAAGTATGTTTCTGACTTGATGATAATGGAGCATTCACCAAAGCTACGTTTTGGAATGTCATCCGGTCGAAGTTGTCGTCGCAGCTTGCATAATTTCAAGTGGACACTAAGGGTAGTTGACGGATGAGGATCGGTCAGAAATATTGGTTGCGGCTCCAGCGCCTCGGCTGTCATTTGAGCATACTTCTTTAAGCCAAAAAAGGAAGACATCGTTCGACGATCAAAGAGACGATATTCGCCTGGAAAGTCATCAAAACAGAGAGGCGGTTGAGCATCTGAGGTTGCATAGACCTTAAACGGCGTTACCACCTCCCCTACAATATCACCCTCTAGAATGGCCTGGGATCGAATTCGATAGGAAACATAGCAATGTGCGTACGGGACCGGGTCCGACTTTGTGTCTCTTGTGTGACGGATGCAAGTTGAGGGTGGAGTATCAAATGTCGAAAATGCGGAGCCGTATGGTGGCAGAATCTGGTCAGGAATGTCGAACGCAAAAGGGACTGATACATCCTGAGCACTAGAAGTAATTCCCGTTGTAGAAGCTCTGCTTTCCTGGACCAAGGAAAATAGCTTCCCCCGAAATTGTCAGCAAAGACGATTGTTTCGGTGATTTAATAATTATCTCTCACTCGTTGTCCATTTGTACTGATCTTATACGTGTGTTCAGATTCAACCCAAATTTGGTTTATTAAATCACCTGTAAAGAAATAATTACCCGGTAGGACAATGTAAAATTTGGACATAAATACCTTCCAGGATTATTCTCAGCGAGCCAAATGTTGGGCCGTTGCTTCCAAGTGAGACAATACCACTTAATTTATTTTGACCAATAAGGAGAGGAAGAGGGTCTTCTTGAGTTCCTGGGAGGAATATCCCCTTGTTGACCAGAATTTTCATTTGCAATGGCATAGTTATACACGCTTGAAAGCCAAAATGGATGTATAAAGGTTGTATGAAAGTGTATGTTTACGAGTCGAAGAAAGAAGAAAGTAAGGAGCTTGGTCGATTCTGGTCACTCGCAGTCAGGAAAGAGCAGTGAAACCTTTAACATTGTTGACTTGAACCTGTTGTTGGTATCTGGGACATCAATCGGAACAGGGTGATAAAGATCGGAGTTGACATAAATCGGAGTTAAGTGATCGGAGAAAACGAGGGTTCCACTTTTCCAGGCCAACATCTCCGATGCATGAAATTCAATCTCGTAAGCTGTTCGCTCTAGACGCAGGAAGGCACAGTATTGCGTTCCAAATTCAATTATAACTAGACAGACATCCATACCAAGCTAATTCGGCGTTGGTAAAAGCGTACTCGAAACACTTTACGCTTCCTTTGAATATTATTGCCTCTCGTGACCGTTTGCTCACGAGCGTTGCCCCTATGCTTCAATAAAGTCAATTAGGCCCGGTATTGGAGCAACTTGTGACCAAAATTACATAATATCAGGCCAACCCGTTTAAAATTGACACCTTGGTCATCTTGCCTCATATCTGCCGAGCAAAGCGAAGATTCATGTTCCGCCGCCTGCGCAAGTTGCAGGGCACTCAACATGAAATGCTTCCATCTGATGCCAGGGTACGTCAATGATCAAGATCACAACATTGGAATGCAGTAAGTATAATCTCGTTGATTTATGCTCGTTTCGGCCTCGCCTTTCCGTCCCTCCCGAGAACTAATTTTATGGAAATATCAGTCAACGTATTTCACAAGCCAATGAAACATCCTCAGCCAACCTTGGTCAATATACGGACCATACTGCACCCCAGTCCTCCTCTTTTTCCAATCGCAGACTTGAGGACAGTTTCTCTGACAGCTCGACTTGTGCCTTCGGACTCCACAATCAGCCGCTTGGGTCAAATCCAGCTTTGTTAGGAAATTTCCGGTCCGGAGGTCAAATTATCAACTTCTTACAGAGCCACCCAATATGTCGGGAGCTTATAGATGCCTACTGTTGTCGAAATCAGGAGACGATTTTGCCTGAAGTTGCAATGCGAGCAATTAGCCATTCTGTTTTGGAACTTTCTGCCATGTCAGCTGATTTGGCAGAGATTCGGTCCAGTCAGATCTTCATGCACACGATGAGTCCTCTGATGACTGACTCAATAATGACATATAGTCATTACATCGCTCTCTTTACTGGTCAATCCATGAGATGGGAAGCGATAGGATGTTTTATTTCGATGACAGGAGTTGCTCTCATGGGGTACTTCAATTCAGACCCCATCTTACAATCCGAAGATGGATACCACTGGAGAAAGCAAGACTTGATAGCGTTATTGCTCGACACAAGCAACCTCTGTCTCGAATTTTGCAAAAGCTGTACCTCTCCAAATGAAATGATGATTTCATTCCTGTATAACAACATTCTGTTTCTCACGAGTGTTCTTGGTGAGACGAGTCCCCAGGCTGAGGCTCAAATGACTGAGCTAGCGCGAATGTTATCTGCTGAAGAATTCCAGCAATCTCAAAGATTACCACATTTTCTACATCAATGGCGACGACTTTGCTTCGCCATGGTGTTTTCTCTGGAAGTGAAGCTTTCGACTTTTACCGGCCACCGCCGTCTTATCGACCACAGAAGACGTGATCTGAGCCTGCCTCTTGACCTGTCGGACGAAATCACGGAGTCTTCTTCGTTGTTGGACGACTCTGTCTTATATCAGGTGCCCCATACCGGACGGCGCTTAGCCGAGGTCCCGAGTCGCGGTTCTGTCATTCGATTTCGTTTCCAGTTAGCTATTTTGAGAGCAGAGATTCTAGACGCGTCTACTTTCTCTAACTGCAACCGAGTACATTTAAGGTAAGCTTTATACCACTAGGCTTTCTTAATCTGCTGCGCCTAATTAAATACTCATAGCGATATTTCTAAGCGACTCGATAATATTTGGGAATGCGCGCCAGGCTATATGCGATATGATGCCAGCATTATGCCCAGCATAGAGGACTATTGCACTCGTCTACGGTTTCATCTTTATATGGACTTCCTCTTCAGTCACTTTCTGCTCTGTAAGCTACGATTCCGACACTCCTTGTGTGACATCGAGGAACTCTTCCAGAGTTCATTGCACCTTATTTCCGCGTTGTGCAAAATTTGGGAGTGCCGCACTCATGTGGCTGAGTTTTCCAGGGACTTTTCTTCAATTGTAAGTAGAAAGAATGTGCAGTTGGCACTTATGCTAATAGGATGTACGCAGGCTTTGTACTACGGTTACCCCTGCGCCGAAATTGTTCTATCTAGCTCTCCACAGTCGCAGGGTGATAATGGCTTGGTAGAAACCTCATATCTGTGCAGAATTACGCCGATCTTGAATTCATTTTTGTCTATTCTTCGCTGGATCGCCCCTCGAGAATATGGCAACCACGCCTGTTGTGAGAGAGTCAGAGATTACTTAGATGCAATGTTGAATGACGTTGTCCAGTGAGCAAATGCACATTCTTCTCTTCTTCTCTTTTTCAAGGATTTGCTTTTAGTCATAAGGATTCAAAAATGGCTTATCCTTGAATGACAGAACTTCAAATGAACTAGTGTCGTTGATCTATTCAGGATGGGTTCGTCCGCATGGTCTGGTGAATGTTGATGGCCTGAGCAGACATAAACGATGGTTATTCATAATTAGCTTTGGCTTCGCCGATGATAAGGCTTTATGTACAATCCAAGGAAAACGTATATTGGGGGTCTTACCAAAGAGTGCTGTCCTGGAAGGATAATTAACAAGCCTAAGGTTTCTATTTCTTGAGTAAACTTGTACCTGCTCTGAAGTATGTTCAGAGCTCGGGTAACAGTCTTGGAATTAGTGACAAATATTCTCGGGCTAGAAGAGGCTCATTATGGGCTAGCGCATATGATGAGCGACTCGACCAAGGTGGGCACGGTCTTATTATTCAAGTAAGGCTGTACGTGTGCTTCCATAGGTATGAACTATGAAATTCTCCCGTTTCGACTTTTTAGAATAGGGTCATCAAAAGGGGACTTTTTCAGAAATTTGAAACTTCGATGCTATGTATCATAAAAGGTGAAACAAATCTGCACACGGCGTAGTGCACGGTATTTAAAGTGATTTTGAATGGAAAATATTTTGCAGTGTGAAAGCAGGAGGAGTTAAATCTTGCGCGAGTCTACGGCGCCTTCGTCAGCCAATTTTTGCTGGAATTTTCAATGTTATTTACCATTTTCCCACAAGTCAGTCGCCATCTCAACATCAAGATTATGCAACTCGCCGGAGATGCATCGTGACAATGCTCTCATGAAACTAAAATACACTTTGTCCTTTGATATAGTCTGACTCGTTGCCAACTCATTTGTCCCACCAAATACCGCGTCCGGAACAGCACCTCGCGGCCTTGCATCAAAATTGTTGCCCTTAATTCTCGTATCTGTGGTTGATGCTGGGATTTGTCGTCCATCTGTCCTTAATTTATCAGCGAAGATTACCGTTATGGGGCTTCGTTCGCGTCCAACGGCATAAGCATTGTCAGGTGACTGCCAATAACAATTTAGTAGTCTATATTGGGGTAGTGATCATCGACTAGAAACTTCGGTAACTGTAACCTTGGCCTTTACAATGCCTGAGATAGTGAATTGATCTCCAATGGTTCACAATCTCCACCATGACGTTTACTCGACTTTTGGCTGCTTTCATCCACAAGTGTCCTTTGACGATCGCTTTTTTACTTCTCTCTTTCCCTTCTTTTCAGTCCCTCATACTCGCGAGAAACCATCTCCTTCCAAATATGGTCGCTCTCTAGGCTACCACGGTGTCCAATAGGAGTCCCAACAACTGTACTTCTTCCATTTGTCTGATTTCGTCGAATCGGCCCCTCTTCTTTGCTCTGAACTCGCCTCTCGAATGCCGCTGCGACACATATGATGCCAATAGTCAACCCCTGGGCATAAACACGAGCTTGTACCATCTTTTGCCGGCTAGTCAAGTACCGATTTCGGCCTAGCATGACGAGTGAACCAGAGATACTGAACACCCACGCCGCACCTAAAATTTTGTATTTTTCATGGTAGACCCACTCAAGTAAGCGTTCAGTACCCGCCTGGTGAGAATGGCGACTTTCTTGTAGCCACCTGTCGTGCTCGATGTGGGACGACATTAGGGGGTTATGCCGTAATTCGAAGACTCGTGACCCATGGTCTGCGCCCACTATGGCCAGGAATGTCCCGCACGATGTGACTATGTATCCTCTGAATTGTATGGGTAAGGATCGGAAACGGGTGAAGCGACGACTGGCGGCCATAACCCCCGCCAGGCCACCTACGAGGCCTGCAACACCACAAATTGTGCCACCTTTCAAAACCTCACTGTAAATGAGTCAGTCATTGTAGGTGGGAAATAGAATGCACAGGTAACTTCGATCCCAGACTTACTGGTAATGGGCGTCTTCTTCTTCCTGACTAAGAAGTTTCATATCCTCAAGAAAACATTCGGCAAGATCTACGTCAATGACAGATGTCTTGTAACCTTTTTTTTGGGTTGGGGGGGGGGGGGGGGGGGGGGGGGGGAGATGTCCAGCTTTATTGGAGTGCTCGTCTCGCATTTTCGAGCCGAAACGAACAAGGGAGGTGAGATATCGTCGGTTTTTATACCCGTCGGATGAAAACCTGATTGGTTGAAAGGAGAGGTACTAATAGTTTCTCGCGCACCGTATCTCCGATGGGCCGACTGACATAGCTATCTCCGTATGCCTGGAGCATAACCACCCCTTCGTGTCGCTACATGGAATCTCCACGGACATTGGAGGTTCACCCACAAAACTGAATTAAGATCCATTGATTGGACTGTAATTTTGTTTGTGCTTGGAGAGGTCCTGGCAGCTATATCGAGCATCGGGGATTGCTGGGGAAATTATTTCTCGGAAAAATGGAGCTGGCCCATCGGTTTCTGCGATCTTCATCGGACGTCAGGCTTTCTCTCCTCAGACCGACAAAGTATCCCATGTTTGTTCCCTACCGCCATTTCCCGACGCGTATGGGGTCTTCAAATTTGTATGCAAAGATTCCTTCAGAGATGGACCGCACCCGTTCCCGTGGGTTCTAGCTCTAATATCGCGACTACGTCAATATTCCTGGCCCTACTCGTAAGACTCCGCTGCCAAATAAGTGACACCAGATTTGAGACACTTCCAGAATACTCTAGACTGGCAGGATGAATAATCAGTAGATGTCGCCAAGGGTCAGTACCCTTTTCACTGCCGTCGTGTCGTAAAAACAACCCCTTAAATCCGATACTATCAGCCAGGAGAGTGAGAATCAAGAGTTCTGCAGAATAGAAGCAGATCAGATGGTGGCCACGGCTGGGGTTGTGTTATTCTGATGCTAACGATCCACAGCCCACACATGGGGTATTAGTGGTGTAAGGTCTTATTCAATACACTTGACTTCTCCCGATTATTTGCTGTTATATATCTTTTCTGTTTTACCAAGCATTCGGCTTTATTGGCCCATTGCACTGATAATCACATACTCCCTGGAAGCTCTGAGCTTCTCGTCTGGCTTCGAAATTCTAGAAAGCACGGCTTTTACACGGATGGGCAAGTAGGTTCTGGAAAGAAAAGCTAAAATTCTATCATGGTTCTATTCATGGGCATTTAAGTAAGTTGCTTCGTATGCTAGCTAACCTAATAACAGCCAGACTTATACTTTCCGCAGAGTAAACGTAGTAGAAAGCGCACGGGCGATTTTTGAGTAATTCAACCGGGTTGGCTTATCCGGGCTCCCATTCACTTTGTCGGGTGCTCTGTCCGACATTCGGATTTTCCATTGTCGCAAGGCGAGCAGGCAAAGGGTTCCCGCGATAAAGACACACCCAGAGAACACTTCAACGTCGAGGTAGTAAGGGCTGCGGCGGCGACGAAGTTCCAGAGCGATTGGCTCCGCAACTATCCAATCCGTTAGCGCTGAAAAATGCCGAGAGGTGGCAGCAACATACAGGTGGTTGGAAGGACAATCACTGTCCAGACAATGGACAGAGCGGCAGGAAGCAATCGAATGCCGAGAACTTCATTGAGCAGAGGTCCAATTGTCTAGTAGTGCATGTTAGTAAAGACCACCAATGGTACATTAGGGGTAAACAAACCGCCCAGTAAGTTCCAAATACCGAACCACCAAGGACAGCGAAGACAATCAACACCGCATAAGAATTACCTGACGTCCAGATACACAAACAATAAAGAGCGGAAAGAAAAGTAGCACCCGTTGCCACGTTTATTCGACCAGCATAGTCACTCAAAAGCCCGATCGTAGGCCGCCCAATGGCCATTCCAAGATTTGCCAAAGCCCCGACGATAGCGCCCTGTCGAGAGGTAAGTCCCACTTTGACAGCATTGTCCGGAAGAGAAAATAGGATGATGGTGTATCCCAGAGTGCTGAAATAGGCCCATCCGACGAGCAGCACAAATTCGTAACGTTTGAAAAGCGATAAATCAAAGGAGTGTTGGTTGGGTTTGAGATCGCTGTTTCGGTCCCGCATCAAAAAAGCACAAGTGATGTTGACCACAAAGACGCAGATAGCAGTTATCCGGAAGGCCCATGGTAGACCCAAGTTTTGGATCATCGAGCTTGTAGCCAGGCTCCAAATCAGCCCGCCAAGTCCACTTCCTCCAGCAGCGATTCCGTTCGCGACGCTTTTGCGCTTCTCAAACCATTGGGGAACTATACCCACTGCCCCAACATAGAGAAAAGACGAACCCCATCCGAAGAGAAGACCCTGTGTGAGAAAGAGGTGCCAGACTTTCGTTGCAAAGCTAGCCGCAATCAATCCACCAGTTTCAAGCACCACGCCGACCAATAGTGTAGGTCTAGTGCCAAACGTATGAACACACTTTGTGACAAGAGGGGCAATAAATGTGATCTGAGAGATAGATAAGCCACCGATGAAAGAATATGTAAGCTCAGATGTCCCAGGGAAAGTGTTGCTGTCGAGGTAATGTGCGAGGTAAACACCGAAAGCCTTGAGATTAGAGTAAAAATCAGTATTAAGTGAGCGGCTCCGAAGTCGGTCCACACTTACCCCGTTGACTCCCCACGTGTGGGCTGTAATAAGAAGCATGGCAACGACACAGACCCAGCCATATCCTCCGTCGGATTTATTAGCCGGAGGAACATCCGTATTCGGGGCCCCTGCATCATAGGCAGGAGAAATGCTCTGATCAGCGCGGTTGTTCTCAAGGTCGTCGGTTATTTGGTTTGGCATCATTGTGCACTTAGAAAAGTCAGAATCATGAGAGATGTGCGGGATGTCGTCTTAAGGTTATGGCAGACCTATTAAATACAATTCCTATACACACACGAGCAACGTAAAAATTCCCGATCTGATTAGCGAAAAGATGGGCCGATCGGAGATAAGGCATATTTTTCAGACACGGGATACATTACACCGATTACACGGATTTCGTAGATGCAACTATTGCCCAAGCCCTTCTGATCAATCTGTGCCGCGGAGGTCGCGACTAATGTTACGCCGGTACCTCAAGGTACATACCTAGCTAGTTGCGAAGCTAATAACCCATGGTCTTGAATTATGAATCACTAAATCGTGACAGTATGGCTTATTACATCTAGCCTATTTTGGTATCGCGTTTGATAATGTAAAAAAAAAAAATTGGAATATATCTGGTTTATCCGCTCAATTGGAACATCTATTGTTTGGGTCCAGAAGTGGGTATGCCGAACTCCGGAGACATGAGCGGGTACCCCGAACGCCGTTAACGTCCAATTTATTATCTGATTGGACACTCTAATCTACGGTAATAGGCCATTTTGTGATAGTTCCTTGGAGAATCGACTGACACCGTTCCACTGGTTTGCTGTGATGCTATCATAGTCCGGATCAATGTGGCGACCGTTAGCTGGAAGCTGTTATACAGGTTCTGAGAAAATGATTCGGAATGAGAATTAAGATAAAAGAATTCCAAGTATTCGAGATTTAGGCAGATCGATAGCTCAAAGATCCAACGCTGTCCATGATGTTGATCACCACACGCTTCTCACCAATGTTCGTCACTGATCTCCACCTCGTTAACATCAATTCCGTCTAAAAACCATCGTGAACTTCCATCTCCATTCTGACCCAGCAGTAGGTCATTACCCGACATCATTCGCTTGCACATCTTTCCATCGCCACGAAAAGTCCAGTCCTCCAAGCCATAGCACCGTTTCCATTTGGAATCATCCTCCGAATCCTGGTATTCGTACCAAAACTGTACAGCGATTCGATTTTCCGTGAATGAAAACAGCTCTTTTCGTAGACGATAAGACTTCTCTTTCTCCCACTTTTTCGTGAGGAAAATCAGAATTGCGTCCGATCCTTGCATAAAAGATGTGCGATTTCGCCAGATACAATCAGCCGTGTATGCATTGATAACCTTTCGGGGTTCCCTAGGAGGTGTGTCAGCGAAACAATCATCGCAGTCGAAAGACAGTCTACTTTGTATTCCACAGATCTTGTGCGGCTTTGACTTTCTGTGTTGCGGTCTCGAAAGTAAATGGAGGTCTAATGGACGCCATATCGGGAGGCTTGGAAGAATATGGGATCGTAAGGTTAGGCTGGATATTTGTTTGGAGAGGACGGAGCGACAGATGTTATCTCAGTGGGATTGTCGCTTTATATAGACGTTTTTGGGGGGTTGTGGAGGGAGGGACGAGGCTAGCGCGTCTGTTAATTTGGCCAGTGCGTTCACCGTCCAAAAGATATTCGCTAATCAGCACCACAAATTTATTCCCATCCATGAGCATCGGAGCAATTGCAAATCGGAGCTCATTGGTGACCTAGAACCACTCTTCTATAGTCTAGGCCTCTTTCGCCCCAGGGGTATGAAGGGAGAGAAACTTTGCGAATGATATGTTTGTCCCATGTTTGAGGCCTGAAATGACCCTTTCAAAACCTTGCATAAGGAAGGAGCCAAACCCAGAGTGAGTCATTAATGACGTACTGAGATAGTACCTCAAAGGCATTTACCGTAAATGGTTATTTGGCTCTAAATTTAATTTCGCGCAACGAATGTGAGCGACATGATCACTTAGGCATCTAACGAAAGTATTCAATTCCGATCAATCTTGCAAGTCATCGTTCTAACGCCTTCTTACGCGTTTAACGGTGTCTAATGGCATTCACTGCCGGGCAAGATCGGGCAATAGAAATTACAGAGCGAGTGGGCTCCGCTCTTTCACTACTATGCTCATGCGTAGTCATTCCTACATTATTCTTCATCGATCAGTTTCAAACACCTGTTCACAGACTCATCTTCTTTGCCACCTGGGGAAATGTGTGCTCGAATAGTTTACAAAATTTAGTCCTGAGATATGAAAAGGTCGGAAACGTTGTCCAGGTTCTGGAAGAGTTAGCGTCGATAGAGGTAGAAGGTTGGAGAGTTCTGCAGTACCCAGTTAAAAAGGTCAGCGTCGAACCATTCTCGCATATCGGTCCAGTCTTCAAAGGTGCTTTCAAACAGCGTCTCCGGATTCGACGGTTGTGGGTTTTCTATACCAGACTGGGCTCTGGAAAGAAAGTCAGCTATATCAACTACATTTGATAGAATCATAATTACTGTAGGTGGCGAAGTATCCGGTGCGCCTTCCGGCATATTGCACTTCGATTCGAGAGATCCTCCATGCGGAGAGCGAGCTTGTCCAGCTCCACCCGGTAAGGTTCAGACTCAAAGGATGGTGGCATATCAAGGAGGCAGGAATTGAGTGCCACAGCGGCGTGGAGAGCTTTTAAGCTCGCCACACCATTTAGCAGCCAGAGAATATGTCGAAGCAGTGGAACTTCGTAGAGTTGTCGATGGAGAACGACCAAAGCGAGACCAGAGGAGATGCATCTGTCTCTAGAGCTAGATATGAAGTTCGGGGATTGGGAGTGATGAAAAGGTCGATGTAGAAGAAGGTACAGGTGATGCGCATACGTTTGTAAGAGACACCAATGAGAATAGGTGGAATCCAGGATACTAGGCGATCCGTCTTTCAAATATGTCGAGTCCCATAGTCTTTGCTCCTCTGTTATCGCCGCGTCAAACTTGTTCAATGATGCGACCTCAAAACGTGAGGCACTGGATATATGGTGACATATCTTGGTGGAAAGCCGGAAAAGACGAACTTTGAACATCATCACAGACATCTGTGTGGGCTTGCTTGAGGCTTCACCAACTCCTTCTTCCGTGATATCAGAGTCGTTGACATCCGCGGGCAGAGTGGATTTAATCTCAAGAAGGAACGTCATGTCGACGTCTCGGAAAAGGATCACTTGGTATGTATGAAGGGACAAAAGACCCGCCCAGCAACGCCGGCGTCTTTCTCTCTCGATGGGGTTATAATCCTGAGAATCAATGTTGCACCGTAGCGCGATGCCAATGTTCAATGCCATTCCTAGCAAGGCCCACCCTTGATCGACAGACTCGTTGTGGGAAAGATTGTAGACAACCATCAGCAAAGCTTCGAATGTGCTGAGTTTGTGTCGGATAAAGAATTGATCCTGTGAAAGACAAATCATTGCGATTTGCTGAAGCTGACGTGACTTGGCCACAATCTCCTGTTCCTGGCAGTGAGACTTGTTTGACCATAATTCTGCCAGCCTGGGATCGCTCGGCTCCATGGTGTTTAGTATTAAAGAGCACATGGTAAATAGCAAAGCCAACCAGGAAAGATCGACCTTATCGGGCTGTTGCATGAAGGCAGTGTATTGCTTCTGGAATGTCGGGCCATGAAGAATTGGAAATAAAGCGGAGATGTGAATAAAAAAATGAGACACCAAGTAGTCACAGCAATTCCGGGGCGGTAGATTTTCGATAATAGACTTGAGTGTCATGCCTAGACCAAGTGGAAACGCAGAGGCGGTATCGGGCACCGCCACTGGATCGGGTTCAGGAACTGGTCGTTCAAGTACTGTTTCCCAGTGGCTATCTGGAATATCTCGATCTTCTCCGGGCCTTACAGGCTCGAGTTGAATGCCCGAGCGACCAGGAATTTCTTGCCTGGATGGGTCGGACTGAGATGTGGTAGGATTCACCCGTGGCACGTCTAACGCCCGAGGCCTGGGTGGTGTTCGATGAGCATTGGTGGAAGCGCTCGCGACACTAGGAGTGGCCCAGAATGAGCAGGACGCTTCACGTCCACGGCGCTTGCAAGAGCTACAGGGTTGCTTGCGATCACACCGTAATTTGGAGTGTCGGCAATCTTCACAGCTCAGGGCTTTTCGCTTCCGCCGATACGACTCTGGCATCGGAGGTAGGCTCAAGTGGTTATGGGCTGAGATATTCCCACTCATTGTTCCCAGAAATTATCCCCCGTAGGGTTTTCAAATCCGATGTATGCCGGTAATATGGATTAGAATCAAGCCTGTTTGTTGCCAGTCGGAGGAAGGAAACCGTGACGTTCACGACGGAGACTAGGGTCGGATCGGAGAAGGCGGTGGCGCGCTGCGCTTTGGCGAGCCTCATCTCCGACCATTACATCCGATGACGTATATCGGTGTAAATGTAATACATCCCCTTCAAGACAGCTGCACGTTGTAAACGTGTACCACGCGTATTTTCATGTCAAATGCATCATGGAGACTCGGTGTTTTATCAACATCACACGCCATCATGTGAATATTCCACTACTTAAGTAACTTGGCAAAGTCGGCTTTTCATTTATTAACTCTCACCATTAACTTGTACTCGTTGATCCATATACTCTACTGCGGACCCTTCCTACAAGTCTTCCACGCCTTGATCAAAGCCTCTACGCACATAATTTTTCCACCTCGACCACGTCACTATGTATTCGTGGTGGAGGAATATAAAACTACGCATCCGCAACTACTGGCAGTCCCAGAAGCATCTTATGGCCGCAAAAAATGACCTCTGGGACGATGATGAATACAACTTCTGCCCCGGAAGATATGCCGGACAAGCACACGATTAGATTTGAGGCAGACCGGCTACAAACCTAAATACTTGGAGGAACCGCGGTATGGCCAGCTCTGCGGTACTCGAATTCTTTGACAACTTGGGTATGTCTTTCAACACTAGGTTGGAAAATTGGATGGAGGCTAAGACATTTCAAAGTTCGATTAAGGACAAAGAGAAGTTTGAATTGGAGAGGGTTTAAATTTGTGGAAATGATAGCAAAATGAGTGAGCAGTGGAGTAAATGTGAGCTAAACTGTATTGACGCTCGTTGCCTATATTAATTGCGGCATTTGCTCAGTGCCGCGGAATGAATACGACAGGTGAAAGAAAACTTGAATCGGATACTGAGATTTGTAGAAATGTGCGCTGTTTCTCCTATTGTAATTCTTTTGGATTATATGACAAAAGAATTGAGTAGCCAGGTACAATAGCTGAATCCTGGGATCCATCATATACTTCCTGGAAACGACTACTGCCTGATGCCTCTCGCGCTACATCTTATATCTAGACCTGAGAATAGAGGCTTTTAATGGAGTTTTCTCATTCTAGGGAGCTTTCACCTTCACCATGTATACGTGAGATAGATGCGACGCTGATAGAACACCGATGAGCCTAGTGAATTCAATTATCTCCTAAGCGAATCTAGGCTCACATTTCCTGACCAAGAACAGGATAGCCTTTGGACTAGTAATCAATAGCAGGCTTTTCTGTTGGTAGGTGGCACCCAAGGTAGCCATGTTCGGCGCCCGGTTTAATACCAGTTATCACCGTGGTGTGTATAATTGCCTCGGTAGTAAATGCAGCTCTATTAATGACACAAGTTGATACATGCTTACTCCTGCGTGGAATGGAGGGTGCTACAATGTAATCATACCGAAAGCTGTTGTATTTCAAGAGAATGAGACTACATGCTAAGATTTAATGTTAATCTCTCCTACAGATGACCACCCACTATGCTGATATAACCTCGCAAATGCTGAGTCCTTATCAGCTAAAAGAACCGTCGGACTCCCACACTCGATAATCTGGCCCTGATCCAGAATGACCACCCGATCAAAGTCCATGATACTGTTGAGTCGATGCACGATTGCAACGACAGTCCAGCCCTGAAACTCTGTACGCAAGAGAGACATCATAAGCTCTTCCGTGCGAACGTCGACACTGATTGATCACCATGAGCATTATTAATATAAACGCCGCAGGGCAGGGAGTAAATACCTGCTCGTTGCCTCATCCAGCAACAGAATCTTGCTCCTTCGCATAATCATCGCCCTCGCCAGACAGAAAAGCTGTCTCTGTCCAGCGGACAAATGATTCCCCCGCATTTCTGCATCAAGTCCGCCCATTGACCGAATCTGCTCTGTCAATCTGGTCTTCTCCAAAGCAACCTGGATCTGGGATTCAGTGGCTTCGCCCATAGGGTCAAGGTTGGAGCGAATTGTTCCAGATCCTCCAGGCAGAAACCATGGATCTTGTGGTAGCGAGTTAATGTGCCCGCGGACTGTCTCCGGAGACAATCTTGTGATGTTGTCATCTCCAATGGAAACGGTGCCGGATTTGGGGTCTAGCAGCCGTAGGAGAAGTGATATCAGTGTTGATTTGCCTGAGCCCGTCCGGCCGCAGATAGCGATTCGCTGCCCAGCATCGATGGCTAGGTTGATGTTCTTCAAGACATCAGATCCGGAGGCCCTTTGATCACTGTCAGCTGTACAGTTCAACTGTAAAGGGCCTTACATACTGATATGAAGCCGAGACGTTCTTGAAATCTATAGAAGAGTCCGTAGGCCAGTCTTCAGGTACAGCCACAGTCTCCTCGGGCGATTCCGTTGGTGTATCTGCAACGAATTGACGTGTTCTCGCCACAGCACCCAGAGATGTCTCAATACCTGTCCAGTAGCTCACAAAAGACGACAGTGTCTGGCTAAAATTCACGATACTGACCATCGCAACTCCGAGCAGACTGCTACTCATCGAATGCCGCAGAGTCACGGCCAAGGTAATGAGGATGACGGCTAGGAAAGCGACAAAAACATCCAGTACGAGATTCAACCAGCTCTGCAGACACAGAAGCAAGTAAAATGGCCGCTGCGAAAGGTCGAGTAGGCTGGAATTCTGGTCTATAACATATCGTGTCCATTTAAATGCGCGTATAGTGTGAGCCCCGTCTAGTGTCTCAGTGAGGTGTGTGTAGAGCGGGGATACGGCTTCAAGGTCGAGGAGGCGCATCTGTCGGGAGGTCTGAAGGTAGACCTTTTGAAGATAGTAGAGTGCTACTCCAAGGAATGGCAGACACAACGCCATATAGCCAGAGGAGACGCAGGAAAGGACTGCTCCGGCGATACTGTTGCCTAGTCCTGTATATACTCGGTGGTCAGAGCGAGTGAGACGGTGGAAGAAGGAACGGAGGGGCAACTGACCGCTAGTAGAGAGTAAAAGAGACATTGGCAATTGCATATCCATTAAAGTCATGTCTTGCGTAAATCTATGTATGGGTCAGACCAATTTTTCAGTACTCGCTGCAACCAGACTCACCGATTCAACAAAGATCCGGAGTCTGTGGCTGAGATAAAAGACATCGGTGCCCTGGTCGCCAAGTCAGTATAGATCAACAGAAAGGATTGATATTTCCACCTCATCGTGCTTTTGAGAATGGAATAATGCAGGGTATTCGCTGAGTTGGGAACCAGTGCTATCAAATAGTATCTGAGGTAGTGTTAGTTTAGTAGAAAGCAGACATGAGGTGCTCTTACCCCCCACTGATCCCAAGAAAAGCCAATGCCAGTATTCCAAACAAAGCGTACACGGACAACCATTTACCTAGGTCGGCACCTGGCCTCGTCTCATTCGCATCGACCCACCAGCTCAGCCACAACGCTGTGGACATGTTAGCGACTTGAATATATCAAAAACAAAATCGAAACTTACATTGTAGCGCTGTAAAAACAACCTGCAGAGAGACCAAGAACAGAAATACCCCAAAGGCTGGTTTACCCATCGTGTTGATATAGTATGACAAGTTCCGTAGATCGTGCCGTCCACGGTTTTCGATTGACTCTTCTTTGTCTTTCTTCTTGTCAGATGACGAGAGAACTAGCCCTTGCTGATTTACATCCTGTGCTGAGACAGAACTCAAGCCCCCGACGTTGCTGGTCTCAACGTTGAGGTCATGAACGTATCCAGGTACCGACATGAGCTTCTGGAATGGGCCGGATTGCATTAGGCGACCTTCGGGGCTCAAAACGAGGATCTGATCTGAGTACGGGAGCCATTTGACTGCATATGTCAATGATAGTTCTCAACGAAAGGCAAAATGAAACTTACCAGCGTGAGTGATGAGTACGACAGTGGCGCCAGTCTGCCGTATTAACCCATCTTGGGCTAGAAGCTGGTGAAAACAGTGTCGTTCCGTTTCCAAATCTAGCCCGCTGAGGCAATCATCCATCAGGACGATCTTTTTCCGGGCATACACAGCTCTAGCGATTGCCTGCGGTAACCATATTCGTTAAATCACCAATAAAAAGAAGGATAGCCGAAAAATAGTCTTCAACTTACCAACCGCTGTTTTTGCCCTCCACTCAGCGCGATCCCTTTACTACCCACAGGGGTCTCGTCGCCATCTGGGAAATGACGGACATCGATATCAAGAGCACATGCCCGTAGACAAGAATCATACCATTCCTGGTCATACTCCAAGTTACCGAGGATGTTCTGTCGGATGCTACTATTGACCAGGAACGGTGTCTGTGCACAATACGCAATATCGTCTGTTGGTAAAGTCACTGAGCCGTCGAGCAGGACTCCCTCACCCAGAAGAGTCTGCAGAAAAGTGGACTTGCCGCAACCGATACCCCCGAGGACGATATTTAGCGTGCCTGGATAAATCCGCACGGAGAGGTCTCGTAGTACAATCTTGTCGACAGACCAGCCTGCATAGACCTGATCAAACTCAATGATGCTCGGACTGCTTCCTTCGACATTGGAAACTCCACGCTCCCCGGCTAGGTCCCTGAAGTCGACCTGTTTTTTGTTTGTCACGTAGTTTTGGATGCGGCTGCAGCATTCCAACGCGGAGCTCAAATTCGGAACGGCCGCGACGAGTTCATTCACCGGGCTAATCAGCACTGACAGGAGAGACATTGACGAGAAAACCGTTGCGGCGGTGGGTGCTTCGCTGTATGAGAGCTTGAGGATTATACCATACCCGATAAAGGTGACGACGGGGGACAGCATGTTTGCAGCGTTTCCTAAGAGGAATATTAAATTGAGTGTCCCGCAATGAGAAACAACAATGCGTACCCAGCGTGATATTAACAATCTGCACCTGTCGG